ATTAGAGAACAAGAGTGTCAATTCATAGATCTTTGCCCCTGGACCAGCCACACCAGGGCTGGTAGAAAGATGGGAGTAGACAGCTCCAAGCAATGGCACTGATCTCAGAATCTCTACCACAGGAGCACATTTCCTCTTCCAATCTTACTTTTACCTGACTATGCCCCCCCACTCTACCCCTACACACACACACACACACACACACACACACACACACGGTAGGTTTATTCACCAACACCGATACAATTTAGAATTACAAAAACAAAGTTTCTCAGAATTTTCAGATAGATTCCTGGCATGCTACTTTTTGAGATTCAGGACAACATATTGCAGGTATCATCAAAATATTCAAAATTCTGACATTTTAACACACTCCCAACACTCTTCATAATATGTAATTCAAACTGTTAAGATGCCTTTTTTAAATAATAAAATACATTATTGTAGTACAAAGAACTACATCACACAGAAACATTCAATAAAAAAAAATAATCTAAAAGTCTTCCCAATTGAAAAAACAAAAATAAATCTTGAGCTATCCCGCCCTACAAGGTCACAAAACAGCCGGAAGAGAGAAGACCTGCTCAGAGGTCCAAACTCCAGCTTCCTTTTCTGGCCTGTATGTGCCTTGGTTGAAGGAGCCCAAGCAGGCTCCAGCATGCCAAACACAGGCCTGAACTCAGCAAATTGCAGGCATCTTTTCTCCCTTTACCTCTTCCTCTCCCTTGCTAAAAACTGTTCCATTCCTAAAGCTAGCCCCCAAGACCCATTCCCATATTTGGCCACTGACTCATTCCTGAGACAAAAATACCAACGTCTAACAATCAAAATTCATTATTTGGCTAATATGACCAACCAGGATTTTCCAGCTCATGCTGGCACAGACTCGCCCCTTTTCTCATAAAAACTCACTCCTGCAGAAAAATCTGCTCCTGCTCTCTTGCTTTTCTCCTTGCATTTGCTGCTGCTGCTGCTGCTGCTATTGCTGCCTTTGCAACCCCCACCCCTATCCCCACCCCTGCTTGACCCTCGGGGTAATAAACCTCCTTTGTGCTGAGAATTTGGTCTGGGCATGTCCTGTGAGTACTGGGAGGGAGCCGATCTCCCGTACATTGGTGATCCTCTCAAGGTGTGGAACCCTCCCTAAGTACAAATCCAGAGTCCTTCCAGCTGTGGGAACCCAGATTGCAGACGTGGCGCTTGCAGAGTAGGGTAGGGTTCCGGACCCACGGGGCCTTGGTGAAGAGATCAAGGAAAAGCACAGCTCATCTTGCCAGAGACCTCAGCCCCAATCACTGGGCCCAAACACAACCTACATTGCCCCCTTGCGGCGAGAAGGGACGATTACTTGCCGCAGTTGGGCTGCAACTGGGTCTGACCAGGTGCATTCCAGTTGCCTACTGGTTATGAGGCCGAGGTAGCTTGTTCCAATGTGGACTGCAGTTGTTTATCAAAGAAAATTGGGCAGGATGCGTCGCTGTTTTAGTGTCCATTCCCGGAGGGAGGTTTAAAACAGAGCCTAGAGTCCTTAGATGGACGCTCTCCTTGTAAAGTGGGGTGGTAAAGCAGCTGCTGCTGGTGGACCAGTGGCAGGTTCTTATCTTCTCCTTGGGCAACCTTTTGCACCTCCCCGCACACCTCCTAAGTGGGTGGTGACCTAAAGAAAGTTATAACCGAGCTTTTTGAGGAACTTTTCAGAAAGACGCTTTCTGAAGATTTTCTTGACCTGAGTAGATTATAATGGTCAGATCCAAAGCCCCAACTCACCGGCAAAAGGGAACATTTTAAACCAGGAACGTGTTCTTGATAGACAAGTGCTCTCAACTGGCCTCATCCAAGCCATAGGAAGAATTTTTTTGGTCCATAGCCAGGGCCGCTGCCTATTGTCCCACCAGCCCTTCTTATGTCATTCTCTGCTGCTGAGGACCTAGGTTCCCAACATTCATAGATGTCTGCACCCTCTATTACTCAGACATACATAATGTCTCTGCTGTCATCCCCAACACCGGCCTCACACTCTTGTGCTGCCTGAAGTTCCTCTAACCCTCACCAGCTCTTGACAAAGTCCAGAGGAAAAGCAACAGACCTCTCACTTGCACATCTGGAGAACAATTACATGCTGAGTGCATTTCCCTTCTATCGCTGTGTAGATCTGATTGCACACCTCATCCAACTACTACCAAGAGGAAATCCTAAGATTAATTAATCAAATAACATCTTTGGAGCTGTGCATATGTCTGTGAGGACAGGAAGGACTGGAATAAAATCACTTTTTTGCTGGAAGAATGGGAAGTTTTGGTAATTGATGATGTAATCAAGCATTGGTGCTATGCCCTTATCCTATCATATCATATCCCCTTATCAAAACTAGGGTGCTAGTACTTGATGTTGGAGAGATGGCTCTTCGGTTAAGAGCACCGATTGCTCTTCCAGAGGACCTGGGTTCCCAACATTCACATGGCGATTCACAACTGTCAGCACCAGGGGATGTAATTCCTTCTGTGCACAGACATACATGAAGGTAGCCTTAGATTTCAAATATCAATCTAAGGGGCTGGAGAGATGGCTCAGCCGTTAAGAGCATGAGCTGTCCCTCCAGAGAGCCCAGTATTCAATTTCCAGTACCCACATGGCAGCCCGTAACTGATTATAAACTGCCACACTCGCTCCTGTGGAGACAGTGCAGCATGGAGCATAAAGAGCTTGTGGCTGCCTGTCCCGAGGTTCACGCCACGTGTGGTTAGCCCTCCTGGTGGTCCCTGGCATGATCCCAGAAAAAGGTCTTTAATCAGCTTGGCTTGGGTGTTGGGTTCGTGAGTGCATAGATCTATGTTTTTCTATTAGTCTTTGGAATCATAACCTGCAGCAGTTGCTGTTACAATTGTTTCAAAGTTTTAATGAATCATTTGGGAAGATTATAGATGTTGTGCAAAAACTTGAGTTAGGAATAGAAGGAAAATTTAGAAATAAGAGAGAAACTAAAAGTAAAGACAAAGTGCAATTAGAAACGGAGGATTTACAGAAAAAGGGATTAACAGACAGGCAAATAAACAATTCCCTAGAAATATTGACTAAGGATTCCTGGTGACAGCCTCCCAGATATAGAGGCCCATACATTTACAGTCCCACAGATGCTCCACTCCCTTGGACAGGTGTTTATGATAAAGGACCTATTTAGATGTGATGGTGAATGGAAATCGAGTTAAGTTCAATACATTATCTATCTGGGAAAGAATCAGGAGAGCTCAAGCACCATGGTGTGCCCTCTCTGAACAGCAATGGCAACTGAGGTGGCAAGTATATAAGTTTTTGATATTTGGAAATAATCGGGAAATTCCTTGTCATGATCATCTTAAATATAATATTTTTGGCCACCCCAGAACCTAGGAAGAAATACTAAAAATTATAAGTCAGGACTTAGGTAGAGATGCAGGGCTGCATCATAAATATCAAAACTAGCAAAAACTAGATGTCTGGTGAGCTGACCACTGACAGGCATAAAATAGAATTTTCTCTTCCTGTGTAGTCTATGTCTAATGTTCTCATGTTCCCATTGTCTCAGCACTAATGATTTCTGAAGACTGTAATCTTTTGGACTCCTGCCAAAGACTTTGTTCCTTAAAATGATTGTATATATTCTGATGCTCTGAAGTAAAGATTCGCAGCAGTAGCAAACCTCTCTTGCATTTGACTGTCTGTCGCGCCGAATTCACTCCTGACCTAAGTATCTGAGTTAAGTCTCCCCACAGACCAGTGGTCTGCTGAGCAGTCTGCGGCAATAAACTCCAGTTCCAAGGGACAGAACACCCTTACACAGACATACATGCAGGCAAAACACCAATACACATGAAATAAAAATAATTTATTTTTAAAAAGATCATTTTAAAAAAGTGAAAGCACTATTCCTTACATTTATCACACATCAGGTTATAACTAATTTCCAGGGAAAGCCATCATAGAAGCAAAAGCAAGCCAGTCCATATCCTGTATAGCCAGCTGAGATTCAGCTGGGGCACAATGCACATGACTCCACACTGCAGTTTTTAAGTCAGTTGAGGTAACAGGCTCTACTTTCCACCACAGCACAGGGTAGGGGCCCTAAATACCCAGCCCTGGAAGTCAGAAATTTATCTACAAAATAGAAAATACTTATTGCTTCCCAATCTTATTTTTGAAGCATTTCCAGTAATATCTGGTTCTTTCTTCTTGTTTTTTGAGACAATATGGCCTGGCTGTCCTGGATCTCATCATGTAGGCTAGGTTGGCATTGATCTCACAGAGACCTGCCTGCACTTGTCTCCCAAGTACTGAGATTACATTGACAAAGCCCCACTAACACTTGGTTTTGTCAGTGTTTCATTACTTGGCTCTAGTCATACAGCAGAACCTTTTACTCTCTGTTCTTACCATTGTTCCTGTAGAAGAGGCTTAATGTGGAAAAAGTATGTTTAAACAGAGACCCATGATGGGAGATGTCATTCTGTATATGTTTCTCATACTGGTTAATAAATAAAGCACTGTTGGCCAATAGGAAAGGAAGATAGGAGGGACTAGGAGACAAGGAGGAAGAGGAAGTAGTAAGGAGGAATCAAGATGGAGAGTCTGAAGAAAGCAGTATGCCGCCGGCTCCCTGGTAAGAGAAATACGTAGATCAGCAGAAATGGGTTAATAATTAAGGCAGAGCTAGCCGATAAGAAACAAGTAACAGGGCCAACAGCATTGTATAAAATACAGAGTCTCTGTGTGTTATTTGGGGCTGGCGCAGCAGCAGGACAAGACCAAGCGGCAGGCAGAAAAACCATACTCGTTACAAGACCCAGATGAAGATTAACTCTCCTTTTTTATTAGTTATATGACTCTTTAGAGAAAGAACTTTCTGCCACTCCTTATCATTGTCACAAATAGATGATAGTTCCCAAATTGGTTGTCAAAGTAAACATCATGGGTAAAGTCCAGAGCATATTATTTAGGATTTTTATAAAATCTCTCCTCACAGTAACTCAAAGAGTTAGTGAATTTTTATTGCCAAACAAACTGAAACCATAAGGAGTCAAAGATAAAGTTCGATCTTCATTCCTGATAACACCGGAGAAGCAAATATCAACCCCACAGAGCACCCATTTTAGGTGGGGCAGACAGCTGACATGCTGTTTGACTTGATCTCAAAGAACGCACCTGAGCTTGTAGGGAAGGGAATGAGGGGCCAGGGTGTCAGGCTATTGGAAAAGAACTTCAGAATTTGCTGAAGAAGGTAGTATATGTGATAGAACCACAGTGAGGGATGGACTGAGGGAAGGGGAATGGAGATACGGAACAGTGACTGCAAAGGCAGGTGGAATGGATCCATGAAGAGCTTATACACTGGCAAAGTCTTTTTTTTTTTGCCTTAGATCTAGTAGCAAATTTCTTAACACACATGCAACTTTTGTACGTAAGACATGAACCAAAATGAGTATTTTAAGAGACAGGGTTCATGACAGCTTGTACACATCTTTTCAAGATAAGAAATTTATTGAACAAAGAAATTACTTGTTTATTTATTTAAGAACATTGAAACTAGGTTGGCTGACACAAACCTATAATCCCAGTTATTTGGGAGGCTGAGACAGGATTTCAAGTTCAGGGCTTACTTGAGCAACTTACAGAATAACCTCAAGGCTAGCCTGGACACTTGAAAAAGGTATGAGGAGCACTGGGAACATATCTGCTACAATAACTGAGTAGTACGCTTCGCTTCAAAAGAAACTGAAACTCAATGATTCCCACCTGAAAACTAAAACGTGTATAACAATTCTTTTTTATTTTCAAACAAAAACTTCAAATTGGGCCACTAACCCAATTCCTGTTAATTCTGCCCCCACCACAGTGGATGAACATCATAGACCACATGGGTGTGTCATTGCTGCTCTAGTAGAAGGGAAATCCACTCCTGGAGCCAGAAACCGTTAGGAGCACACTGAGAAAGGCAGGCAACCAGAAGTCAAACAAAATACAATTGGCTCCTCCAGCAGTAATCATCTTGGATAGTAAGCCTAAGTTCTCAGCTGGGAACGTAACAGGATTTGATCATGGTGGGTAAAAGAGGCCAAGGGGGAAAAAAAGTCTTTTACCAAACTCTTGATCTGTGGAATAGAGAGAAAACATGAAAACATCTGCCTGGACTGACACTCGGTTACACTCTGCGGGAGGCAGACCTGAAGAGAGCGGAGCTGGTAACTACAAGCAGCTTCTTTTTCCACCAGGAGTCCCTTGCTGGTTATGATTCTTCCTTGCTCTCTGCAGGTGGAGGGGCTCCAAAGATCCTGGCAAGGAGCCCTCTGTTGGATTTGGCCTGGTCCTGGGCGTGAGCCAGGCGAGCTCGTTCCCGCCCTCCCTGCCCGTGCTGCCTTCCGGGCCCTCAACTCCTGCTCTGTGGGACGTTGTGCAAATGTCCAGGAGCTATTAGGGCGAGTAGCATCCCCATCAGCTGCAAGGAAGCGTTGTCCCCGTTCTACACTTTGAAGATAGAAGTCAGTCTCTCGCTTTGCTTGGGGAAACCTCTGCTCTTAGGCGCTGCCTTCGTACCTGGCGCTCAAAGGCAAGGTGTTCGCTGAGGTGGGACCATGTAAAACGATGCAAATACTGTGGACCAGAAAATAGGAAAAGGTCAAGACAGGGAAAGCCAGAACGGGAGAAGAAACTGGGAGCTGTTAGGAGTTAGCAAGAGAGACAATGTGCCTGGGCTAGGGCTGGAGGGAGTAATCAAAGTGTGGCAGAGAAACGCAGAACCTCACCTTGAGGTTCCACAGGTCATAACGGAAGGGACTGCGCCTGCGGGCACCCATGGGCGTGTTATGTAGACTGGCTGCCACTCGCTTGGCTATGCGCTTGTCACGGAATTCCACCCAGCCTTCTGTATAGTCCTTGCTGTATTTAGCCGCCTTTCCTCCTGCGGCCGCCGCTGCCTTCTTTTTGCGTCTCACAAAGCGGTCTGTGGGCCAAAAACAACGAACATCCTGGTCAAGCATCCACTGAGACACACCTCTATTTGGCCAGAAGTTCAAACCTGTTAGCTCGGGTGTTAGTTCACAGCTGTGGATGGAAAAGGACTACCTGTAAGGTGCAGACTCTTTCCTTAACTCATTCCTGTCTTCAAATGACAGCTCCCTGAACACCAATAGCCGCACCAGTTCCCACCTCCGTTTCCAAACTGTGTTTGTCAAGAGGTGGAAGAGGCTGACGGAGGCTATCACACGCTGTTTCAGGGATTATCTGAAAATCAGGGCTATCTTTCGGGCCTTATTACTGCACTCTATCCGCCCACCCTCTCCATTCTCCTACCCCGCCCCCAGCCTTCCAAGAGACATCAATGCCACAAATTTAACAGCCAGTAGGGAGTCGGAACCTTCCAAAAGCCAACAACCCACGCCTCACCCGTACTCAGCCTGCAATAAGTCATCGCGGGGCTTACCCTCGGCCTGGAAGAACACGCGTCCCACTTCGCCGTAGGCGCTGAGCAGGTTGCGGACGTGCAAGGGACGGAATCGCGGCGGGACGTGTCCCAGGTACACAATTCCCGGCACTACCTTCTTCTTCTTGCTGCTGTTGCAGGCCGCCTCCTCGGACTCTTCCTGCTCCTCCGCCGCCTCTGCATCCAGCTCTGCCTCTTCCTGCCGCTCTCCCTCCATCGGCGCCTTTTGCTCTCCCACCAACTCCGCGGCTTTCATGATGGCGGATATGGGGGAGCACGACAGCCGTAAACCCGTCGCCACCCGATGACGCATATCCTGCGAGCCGATCTAAGAGGAAAGGGACTAAAGGTGGCCTATGACGTAATTCCTGTGTGTTGTTTTGTGGCGTGGGGGATGGGACAATCCCGTGAAGACCAATAAAAAGGTGGCGTGGTCAGTTGCTGGGGGAGCGGAGCAGTCAATGCAAACGAGAATGGACGTTCAGAGGTAGAGTCCGGGTTTGGGGCGGGGCGGGGCGGGGCGGGGCGGGGCGGGGCGAGGCCAAAAGACGACTCTGGACTAAGGCGGAGCCACAGGTTCCTGTGAAACGCCTCCGCCAGGTGCAACCGTGACCTCAGGCGAGCTCTGGGGGAATATTCTTATTTTTTTTTTAAATTGTTTTTTTAATGTATATGAATGTTTCTGCCTGCATGCACCAAATGCGTGTCCTGGTGCGTCTCGCGGGGTTTTTGGAGAACTTGTTGGGAAAGTTTATGTTGTGGAGACCAAAACAGTATTTTATTCCAGGACGATGGTGCGAATGCGGCTGAGGGAGGAGAACCCCTCTTTTAAAAGCTTTATGAAGTTCAGTTGGTAAATTTCAGTCAGAGCTTTGAATTTTTAGTTATTTGAAATTTCAACTGAATTTTAAACATTTTAAAGTTAAAGTTTTTGAAGCAGTTTATACATTTGCACATGTAATTTTGGAACTTTAATTGGATTTGTACTTTTAAATTTTAAACGCGCCTCTAGTGATTATAAACTGAGAATATTTATTTATTTTTTTGTTTGTTTGTTTTGTTTTTCCAGACAGGGTTTATCTGTATTGCTTTGGAGCCTGCCCTGGAACTAGCTCTGTAGACCAAGTTGGTCTCCAACTCACAGAGATCCGCCGGCCTCTGCTTCCCAAGTGCTGGGATTAAGGGCGTGCGCCACCACTGCCCGGCAGAGTATTTAAATCTTTAAAAGTATTATTTAAAGAACTTTCTCTGCCTACTGTTGTGCTCGAATCTATTTCTATTCCTAGCTGATGAGCGAAGGGTGTGGGGTAGCAACACTCAGTTCTGCTCTCTGGCCACGCTTCGATCAGTAGCCTGCTCAGCCTCGGCACTGCCGCCAGGGGCGCCGTCCTCATACCAGCTGGTCGCCGGCGCCGCTAAGTGGCCGGCAGGTGTTGCTATTGGGACCTGCCCTGCGGCGCCGGGCCATGCGCCGGCGCAGCTCTGTGCCCCAGACTGCTGAGGCCAGCGGGTGAGGCTCCAGTGATGCTGCTGCAATTCGTGAACCACCAGTATCCTGCTTTGCGGAGGGAGCCCGCCCAGGCTTTAAGTGTTCTCTCGCCGAGGCCCCACATAATTTCTTATCCTCCATCGCCACGAAAATTATAGAAGACAGAATCCGGGACAACAGTCGTCAGGCCCCGGGTGTTATTTGTAAAGCTCGGGTGCATCTGAAGGCCTAATAATTAAGCCTGGATTTATCGTGAGTTTGTTTTGCTGCTTTCACTGGAGAGGGCTTTCTGTTGGCTACCTCTGCTTCTTTTCGGGTGTGGGGTGAACAGAGCCCTGCTTTTAATTTTTAACAGCAGTGGCGACGCTGGAGTTACTACAAAACATTGAGAGCTGGAGGAGGAACACACGTGAAGACGATGCCAGGGTGTCTCAACGCTGTAGCTAAATGGCAACACCTGACGTTATTTCTCTATTTTGTGTGTGCTTGGGATTGTTAGGGAAATACACGTTAAGTACCAAGTCAACTGCGAGTGGTGGCAACCATGTAATCATCAGTTCTTGGGAGGTGGAGACCAGCCTGGGCTACAAGAGACTTTTAAAATTTAATTAACTTTAAAAATATGGATATAGTAAAGGATCGTGAAGAATCGTTGACTAGCCAATGAATGAACATGCAAAATCGTGGTTTAGCCCATTGTGAACACTCCTGAATTTCGAAAAGAGAAACTTCTTCCCGAAACTTGAAGAAAACCTTGCTTGGTTTCTTTGAACTTGAACAGCACTTGATTGTGAATTATGTTTGCTTATTTCACCCCAACTTTGATAATTGTATATATTCACATGACGTTGGTTGCCACAGGGTTCTTAAAAAATCTTGGAAGTCTAGCTAGCGCTGGTGAAATTGTTTCAAAAGTGCCTCTCCTTCGAGCCGGATTCGAACCAGCGACCTAAGGATCACTATGTCAACCTACAGTCCTCCGCTCTACCAACTGAGCTATCGAAGGAAGACAATGTTGTTTTCTTTAAGGCTTATAAAATAGCTGATGGATTTGTTGCAATTCCTCTGATTCATCTAAAAAATTGATGTTTTTAGGAAATGTTTTTGAGGATATTTTAAAAGTAAATTAGCAAGTGATCACACAACAGGTAATTAAGAACATGCTTGAGATGTGTGCTTTTTAATGTATAAGTGTTTCATATAGATTCCCCCCCCCCCCCCGATAATGCTCCTAGGAATGTTCATGCACTGAATCCTTACAGACGGAACCATCCATTCTCTTTTATTGACGTTCCCCGCTGTACTCTCCCAGTCTCCTTAGCACCACAGTGATAACATAGGCCCCTTTCACCAGAGAAGCGCATGATTCTCCTTTCTGGACAAGGAAAATACAAATGCATGAGATGCCTTTATCATGGATCTAGAAAAGGAGTGAACATACTAGTTTGCACAATTGTAGTGGAGCAAATAAATGAAACATTACACATACACTCAAAAAGTAATTTTACCCATTCCATTTATAAGAATGCTGTCATGCTTGACTAACAAGCACCTGTGGTGCATTCAGCTTCCTGATACTAAGAAAAATGAGTACCATTGGGGAAAATAAGTCATCCAGGGATATTTTTTATGGAATATATGAATTATGACATGTATGAAAATTTTTCTTTTATGTTTATCTCTAAAAGACCATCATTTAAATTGTAGGTCTGAACTTCTAAAGTTCTTCAGACCATTGATTTAATAAATATTGGTATTTTATACTATCTTTTGTTAATTGGAACAAACCAAAATGTTCCTCCTTCGAGCCGGATTCGAACCAGCGACCTAAGGATACCCAGAGAAATTCACCTACAGTCCTCCGCTCTACCAACTGAGCTATCGAAGGGAGGCGTCAACAGCTTGTTGATTTATGAAATAAAAAATAGCTGGTGGTTTTTCTTTGTGATTAAGTTTAAAAAGCAGACAACCGCCAGGAAAGTCTTTTAAGGTACAGCCCAATCTGACAGAGACATTTTCAAAACTGAAGTCCCTTTTTCCAGATGACTAGCTTGTATAAAGTTGACAAAAACTGCATGTGTTTAGGAATGGAGTGGCCCATGTTATATTGAACAATTATACTGGAACAAATAAACAAAACATAACATATACCTCAAAGGTGATACATTTTAATCATTGCATGTTTAAGCATGCTGTTATGCTTGGCTAGCGACCACCTACGGTGCCACTCAGTTTTCTGGTGCCTAAGACAGAACAATGAGTACCGTGGGGAAAACATAGGAAGCCATCTAGGGAAGCTTTTATTGATTTGTGGGGATTTACAGATTTTAAAGTGTATTAGTTATAAAAGGTAAAGAGAGCAAGTAACGTTTATGGAAATATTTCTAGTACTTTAACTGAAAGATCATCACATTAAAATTAAAGTGAAGAATTCTTGCACTTCGATTCCTGTTCTAGCCCCAGAGCTTTTTGAAGACAAACGTACGGGGGCTGGCGGAAAAAGAGAATATTTGTTCCAGAAGGAATTTCCTGAGGGGTTACCCTACTTTCTGAAGAGACCTTCAAGACCATTCTCATGAGGATCCTCCGCTCGTCTACTGAAGCTGCTGCATCTTTGCAGGTAGAGTGGGCTGAGCTGGGGGGCTGAGTGGGCAGCTTCTGGAGGTCTGCACGCTCCTACAGCAACATCGATGGTTCCAGAGAGTTTTCGGCTAGGAGAAGAGAAGGTGGGGGAGTGAGGGGAAGGCTGCAAGGAGCTGGAGCAGCCCAGGTGTACCAGAAAGCCTCTGAGAAAGAAAAACCAAAGCGCAGACATCAACAGCAAAAACAAATACTTCAGATTTTTACGAGCTGTGTCTAGATTCTCGTGCTCCAACCTCTCCAGTTGCTGGGATTCCAGCGTGAAACTCCATCCATCACCTGTCATTTTGAAAGACTCCTTCAGTCGTCTTCGCTCACTCGAACCTTTGCCGCCCCCAGTGAGAGGACTGCACATTTTAGGTTTGTGTTCGCAGAACTGTCAGAGGTGGGCAGAGTGTGTTGGGGACACGCTGAACTTGATGGCTTTACCTGGGAAATGGTTCGTGACGTTTTGCTTTTGGGAAGGCTTACTATGGACTCATAAAATTCTTTTTGCGTCGAGACCGATGATGCCGACCACAGGAGACCACCACAGTCTGTCACCTATGTCCTCATTCCTGGCAAAAGGTGAAGACTTGTGGTTAGGGAGACCTTTGACACTCTGCACTTCTGGTGGGTCTAAAGAGCAAACGCAGAAGGTGGGACAGATTATTATATCTTAACCTTTATACGTTTCAGGAGAGTTGTTGAGAAATTACATGTACGTTTCCTTCAAAACACTCGTCCTTCGAGCCGGATTCGAACCAGCGACCTAAGGATACCTCAAAGATGAGGAGCACCACTACAGTCCTCCGCTCTACCAACTGAGCTATCGAAGGAGATATTACACCTTTCCTTGGTAATACTATATGATCTCGATTTTGTTATGTTAAAGGTGTAACTTTTTAAAGTAATCCCTTCAGACATTTGACATATTTTATATAGTGAGACTGATAGTTTCATGGGTATATATCCTGGATATATATCCTGTACCCTGCCCTTCCTGTCTGATTTGTTCTGTGCTGCCCTGTTTCTCTTAGGTCTGTCGAGTTTTGCTAGATAAATGATACGGTTGCATTAAATTCAAAACAACTGAGGAAGACAGTTGTGGGTTGTGGACAGCAATGACTTTTGGTCACTTTCGTAGCTTGGCATTTCTTCCTGAAAGTCGGGAAGTGGCACCATTTAACAACTGTCAAAACTTC